CCTATCTTCTTATGGTCTCCTGCTACAACCCCTCCGCCCCCTTCCATCACTTTGCTGTGTTAATTACATCTACTTAGCCCATAAGTAAATATTAACTATCTAAGTCAGTATGGGTAAAACTTACCCATAGTTTATGTTGCCTCTGAATTTTGCCCTGCATGCTTAATAACATCTTTAACATTTGGGGGCAACTCTCAATCAAGGGTGGCGTGAGTCTACTTTCTGTTTGTGGTCCAGGCTGGAAGCTAGTCTTGCTTGGTTGTGGAACATCCTCTCCTAGGAGGTGGACTAGAGTCTCACATTTGCTGCCTATAGCACATGGTATTTCTTCCAATTATAGCTGTAAGTGGTTGTTCTGTGGTCTCCTTCATTATAGAATACCTTTTCCCTCCATTCCTCTTCCGTATGGCATCAGCCTATTCCATGTAGTAACATCACACACTCCAACCTGGAAGATAAGGAGTCAGTGCTTGTTTGCTAGGGCATAAAACAAAGAATGAATTGATGACCCTCCAGTGGGGGTCATATGAATTAGCTGTGATCATGCCTGACACATACTTGTGGGATCTGTTTATCCTCTTGCAGTCCCAGGAGTGAGAGTCCCAGGTCTATTTCTAAACCTGTTTTTCCTCTTTGGCAGCAGGTATTTTCTTGATGATATTTAGTCAGAAGGGTTGATTACTTTTTCTTTGACTTATTGGTGAGTTACTGTGCCTTGGAACCTTTGTTTAAAAAGAGCTCGTGATATTAAAGTTAGAGTGGAAAAAAATCTGTTTCTTTAAAATAGGGATTCTGTGAACCACTGCAAAGGAAAGAAAGAGATTCTAGGCTTCATAACTCAAACCCTGTAATTATGCACTAGCATGCCTTTAATGGATGCTTCTTCCAAACCCCTGGTAGTTAGAGTTTGGCTTATGCCCTGATTGTGTTCTCCTAGCTAATGTAATTGTGGATATCCTTAATTGTCCATATAAATGCTGAAGGGAACATTTAAAGTTGGAAATTTCACAACTTCCTGTGTCCTGCCATTGGTACTCAAGGTCAAGATGCGGCTTTGTTACTGCAGCTCAGTGCTTGTTTAACTTTCAAAATAAAATAACAACTTCCCTTGTCATAGGGTGAGTTTTCTGGGCTAATGCTTTGGAGTTAGAACTCTACGGGTGGTGGAAAGCAGAGCGAGCTCCTTTTGGATCTTTACAGAAGGTTTTTTTGGAACTGGCTAAAATGTAGTTCCTCTGTATATGTGGATTCAAGGCCTGCAACTGGGGAAGTTAGTGACAAAACTCCCTTTTACAGAGTTTGTTGAAAGGCTGGTAAAAGGCTTTTGTCCAAGATTTCTGCTTTAAATCCTTAGAAGTCAGTAACGTGTATTAAACACATTACTGGGGAGTTGAGTAGATTATGATGCATGTTAATGTGATTTTCAAGATTTAATTTAATTGAAAACTATTTCACAATAGTCTTTTCTGTTAAACTTAAACTGTTTTTACAGTAAAGACAGGAAAGGCCATAAAGAGATTATTACTCTTATGTTTAACTGAGATGAATTATTAGCTTTAAGGGCTATTAATAAACATCATTAGCTTCTTACTGATCCATCACTTGGAATAGATTCCTACAGATCTGAGTTGAGGAATGGTCACTACATTGTTCATAAGGTACAGGGGCAGCTCCAGGCACCAGCACAGCAAGCACATGCCTGGGGCGGCCTGCCGGTCGCTGTGCAGGCGGCAGTCAGGCGGCCTTTGGCAGCGTGCCTTCGGGAGGTCCGCCGGTCCCGTGGTTTCGGCGGTGGGCATTCCAAAGCTGCGGGACTGGCAGATCACCCACAGAAACGCCGCCAAATCCGCGTGACTGCGACCGCCTGCAGGCATGCCGCCGGAGGCCGCCTGATTGCCGTGCTTGGGGCGGCAAAAAACATAGAGCTGCCCCTGATAAGGTACTATAAAACCTGTATGAAATCAGTAATGGCAAGTAGCTGTTTGAACATATCCAGAATTATTTAGCTATGTAGACGTGGGATGGAGTTTAGGAATTGCAATCTTGCTGCTGAGGTGTGGTTGAGATGTTGCTCTGTTTGTTTTTTCCCTCCTCACTAGCTGAAGTGGACTGTTGTACACCTATTTGCACCAGTACTTCAGAATGCTGCTATTATAGATGAAGTTCCCCAGGTAATACCCATTTTATTGTTTAAGGATCTTTGTTCATTCTGAAAATTCCAACCAAGGTTCTCTTGTTTTCAAAGACAATTTTATGACTTAATTTTGGAAAGTGAAGCAGGGTTGGGTCTAGTAAGTACTTGTATAGGAGACCTCCAAGGAAATCTTGCTGGAAATGGTGTTGCTAACTGGGTGGATAGTAATACTCTTCCTTCTCAGTCCAAGTTTTGTGTGCCAAGTATGGGGTAAGAGATATTGAACTGTTTGCATCTCATCTGAAAGATGAGCTTCCAAACTAAACACCTGCGCAATTAAGGTCTTTAAAGATCCCATTGCACTTAGCACAAAAGCAAAGGTGTAAACCTTCTTTGTGCTGGCCAAATTTCAGCTTCAGTAATTACATTGTACCTACCTAAATCCCCCTTCCCCTCAGGTCTGAGAAGATGACCATCTGTCCTGAACTGATAAGTAACACTGCTGGCAGTTGTATGCTGCACTGACATGTTTGAGATTTTATGACAAACACCTCCATGTACATTTGAAACAGCCTTCTCTGGGGTGGGGTTGCCACTCCAGAGCCCTAGAAACATTGCTCAACAGCTGAGGGTAAAAGATGTTGAATAATAATAATCTATAAAGCATGCTGTGACCCAGTTCCTCTAGATGAAAGGTATGGTGTAATGATTATAATGTGAATTTTTAAGTATACTGTGTAGATCTTGCTAAATATGGCTACAACTACACTGCATACATTTCTTCCTGCTTAGCAGTCTTTTGCCCGTTACAATTTGAGAAACACTGTCCCATGGCCTTTTCATTTGTATCCAGTTATATAGTCTGATTTTAGCTCTCTACCATGTCCTTCTGCGAAGTCAGATTTTAGTTTTAGAAGAAAAATCAGTAGTAGGACTTTTTCAAGACTATGTTGAACTGGGTCAGTTGTTTGTCATGAGAGTTATTTTATGTCAAAATGTATTTTCAAATTATCATCTGTGCAGTTTTTAAAGAACTCTAAATCCTTTTCAAGGTGCAAAAACGCAATGGGCATTTTTTTTTTTGCATACTCTGTTCAAATTTTGAGCTGAATAGATTGGTTGTGACCAATCACAACCAATCACATGGTATTAGTTCTGTTTCTATGATTGACTGAACATGCCTCAAGGGGCCAGGTTAGAAAAAAGTCTGTAAACCTTTTGAGATTCCCTCATCACTAGTTAGATATGGTGTTTAGAGTGTTTCCATGCTTAGATGTGCTAATGCTGGGGCTTCCATGGGGTATTTTTATTGGTTGGTTGTTTTTTTCCCTTTTTTAAAAAAAAATCTCCTTTTTAGACCAAGGATACAGGTCATAAGAATCAGTCATATCTGAGTATCCTGTGGGATCCTGCTGGGAAGCAGGCTGGCTTACCTACTGCCAAAACCTTAGAAGTAGCTATTATGACCTAAGCCTAAGACTTAAAAATACAGAACCATCCCATGATGATACAATAATAACACCTAGCTCTTATATAGTGCTTTTAATCAGTAGATTGCAAAGTGCTTTAAAAGGAGGTAAGTATGAGTATCGTAAGGGGAAACTGAGGAACGAAGGTGAAGTAATTTGTCCAAGGTTACTCAGCAGGCCAATGGCAGAGCTGGGAATAAAACCCTAGTCTTCTGAGTCCCAGTCCTGTGCTCTATCCACTCGACCACACTGCAGCATTATGTATTCTAAATACCAGTTTTGCTTTGGAATATATTAACTGGAGAGAGAAGAAATTGGGCAAATTTGAAGAGTAGTGATTGGACACTGTGATAGGGTGCTCAGAGGGCTGGACGGCATAGTGGTTAGCACACCCAACTTCTGATATCTTGTCTCTGTGTCAGGGTGGTAGAGGTGCCTCTTCCTGACCCTAAGACAGGAATCATCTCCTCTCCACCCGCATCTAGGCTTTGCCCTTAAAAGGGTATGATAGGAGGAGCCAGGCCCCACTATCTTCGCTGGGACCCAGCCCATGGCCCTGTGCAGAGCAACCAACAGCAGGGTCCTCCCTGCAGTGAGTCTAAGTCTGCTGCCCTGGGCTACTTACTTCCTATCTATGTCTCTTCAGTTTGGGGCATGGCCCCTATAATCCATACAGTCAATCACTTAATGAAAAGAGTCCAAAGGAACAAGGCCCTGCAGGACCTGCTGGTAGTTCTTTGAGTAATGTCCCTATGGGTGCTCTGCTTCAAGTTATTTCAGGTGTGCATGCGCTTCTTGAGCCCTTGATCATAGATTCTCCATCAGCAGTGTCCGTTCAGCCTGCGCATGTGCTCTGTATGAACCAAGGATATATAGGGCTGTACAGGCGAATTGCCCACAGTTCCTTCTGTCTCAAACCAAGGCAGTAGAGAGATCTAGCATGTCTGCCTCGTGCGTGCCTCAGTGTGTTTTGTTGTTGTTTGTTAGTTTAGTGTTCTAATTAGTGTTAGTTATTAGCACAGAATTAGTGAGATACTAGCGAGAGTTTTCAATTTTTTCCTCTCACCCTTTTTTCTCCCCCATTTTTTCTGGGGAGCTTATTTGGCCTGGCTGGGCATGCCTGGCTCACCAGGTTTTAAACCAGGGATGGGCAAACTATGGCCCGGGGGCCGTATCCGGCCCTTCAGACGTTTTAATCTAGCCCTCGAGCTCCTGTCGGTGAGTGGGGTTGGGGGCTTGCCCTGCTCCGGTGCTTCAGACAGGGAACAGGGTCTGGGGCTTACCCCACTCCATGCATGCCGTGACTCCGCACGGTTCCTGGAAGCAGTGGCATGTCCCCCCCCCTCTGGCTCCTATGTTTAGGGGCAGCCAGGCAGCTCTGCACGCTGGAATACATAGGCTCCAGGGCCAAGTGTGGGGTTTCCTTCCATATCATTACAGAAACCCGTACTTTAACAAGAACTCTTACCCACATCAGTGATGGTAGGATCAGTTCTGAGTACCACTTCCTCTCCCATATGTGCCTTCCTAGTGGACATAGTGGGATCATTGGGTAACATATCGACAGCAATTTGCTACATCTCCAGTTCCATTGCACCAGGAGACGAGGGTCACACAATCTCCTCCACCAAGCCCCCAACATAAGGAGACTTTTGAAGAACAGGAGGCTAGGACACACAAAGAGTTTACCTCTCAAATCATTGGTTCATCTTCATCTCTGGATGAAGCAGTCGTGCCTCCACCACTATCAGTGGTTGACAGTTTTTATCAATTCCACAATCTTGTGAAGAGGGTGACTGGCACCCTACAGATGCCTCCTGAGGTGGTTAAAGACTCATATCACAA